TGGAATACTAGAAAATTTTACAGTACAGTATTTGAGCCACCACACTTTTACGATAGGTATAGAATGCTTTATCATTCTAAATAGAAATTTGGATATTTAAAGATATTATTTTTCTTTGTTAACAGCTCAAAAGGACTTTGAGACCTTCACCTTGCTCAAGATGACCTTGGCTTTGGGTGGAGGTAACTTTGCTATGGACCTCCAGCAGCAACTCACCTAAGCTCTCTTTCACATGAGCTCTTCATTCGCACAAGGAGGATAAACCTCCTCCCCCCAATAACAGCTATTTTAGGACAAGTAATACTTTTTTTTTTAAAAAAAAACATACAGTATAACTGTCTCTCTTTGGGACTTCTAGGAACATGGTAAGAATAATTTTTTCACACTTTAAAAATGCGTAAAAAGAACAAACGATAAAGTTCATCACATTTGTTACTCCTTTTAGAATAAAATTCTAAAGATCTCATAAATTGAATAAAAGAAAGCAATTTACCACTTCCACTGAAAAGAAATTGCTTGAACAAAATGGTTTTAGACTACAACCCATATTCTGGGTACTCTTTGAAGTATCAACCCTTCCAATTCCAGAAGAGGTTACTCAGACCACAGAACAAGGTTCTTCAATGATGTATGTGGCAAAAGATAGTAGTAATAAACTGAAATGGGGAGCTGCTGACTGTACGCAAGGGAAAAAAAAAACCTGCAAGAATAATAAAGTACGGGAACAGGTATCCCCATGAGGCTGCTGCATCTCAAGACTAAAGTGGACAAAACACTAAGTGAGGTGGCCTGGACTCAACGTCGACACTGTGCTCTGCACAAAGTTGGACTAGATGATCTCCTGAGAGCGTTTACAAGTGGAACTATTTTGATTTACCTGGCTACCCATATGTACATGGTTTTTTTCTCCTTGTACCCTCTGAATGAGATTAAGATAAGGATAAAATACCATAGCAAAAGCCTCTTTTATGAAAGTGGCAGGATCTGGTTTAAGCACAGGATTAAGATGCACAGCATATTTGGTTTTATATGTGATTAACATGCAAAGTAGAATTTATAAAAAGTTATCACAAAGACAAATCTTTTCCTCAGCAAACAATTAAAAAAAGGGGTTTGCCATAAACCAACAGATCTTCCTGCAAATGCTTCTGACAATACCTTGCTAGGAAAAATTATGGTAAACGGACATGAAATTTTGCTGTATGAATAAGAGCTTTTGCTACATGTCTTACTAAACACTACAAGCGCCAACAAGCTTCTCAGATGTACATAACGGACTTCTGACAATTTGGGGTATTTTACTCATCCTTACGTCAACAATTATAAATCAAGGGAAGCCAGTGAGCTGCCTCAGAAAAACAAACCATTTTAAATGGTGATGTTTTTACAATAAAGATTTAAAGTTTAAAACAGTTCAAAGAAGAAAACACCACTTTTTTCTTAATTTAACATATATGAGTGCAACACAGTAAGTTAATGCTTGTGGAGTTAAAGATACTGTGTTACAGTGGGTTTAGTGTAGTTATATTTTCCTTAAGAGGTGAGGAACAGCTGCTAAGTTAAGGCCCAAAAAAAAAAATTATTTTTAACATTTGGCAAAGGTATATAGTTCTCTGTACAGACATTTCAAAATGTATGTTGGAAATAAATATGAAATGTCAATATTTAGCTTTATTCCAGATCTTTAATGAAATTACTGCTTCTGTGTAATATACTAAATGTGTGTTACAACATCCATTGCACAGACTGGAAAACTGGAGGGGGTAAAAGAAAGGTTTATTAGTAAGTACAAGATGAAGCAACAGCTAGCAAGGTTGCCCCACTGGCCATATTTCAGCATGTTTACTTTGACTTCATTCATAGAAATCGATTGTGAAAAAAATTTAAAAAAGCCAAAACATAAAGCTTTGTGTCTCTGGGTTCTGATAACATTGACCTTCAGTTAAAATTCACTGACCTGCTGTGAATTTATTTTACAGACAGCTAGAACGTTATTAACCCAAAAACTGCAATATATGGTACACAGCCATGAAAAAGCATACTGTGTGGGCAAGAATATGTATGTAAATAAGATCAGTATTTAGAATTACTTGTCCTTCGTGTGTCCTACTATACTCATGTGATAATACCCCAGTCCTAAAATGGTCACTAAAGCAGTTGGCATTTAATCCACAGATCTATACGAGGGTTTTATTTTTCTATGAGTATTTTCTATGACTTCTTATTTTTGCTCATTGGCTTTAAGAAGACATAAAATTACTTTTTGGGGTTTTTTTTTAAATTGATGAGAACTATATGCATTCTTATTTTTAAATTGCAATCAGACAGCCCTGTCCTAGTAGGTGTTTGGAACACGTGTATCCAGACGAGGACAGCTAACAAAGAAGTTAACAAGTTTTCGCTTTCTACCAGTGACAGGGCAAACTGCTTTTTAATGCTTTAGCTAGTCAAGGTGAACCTGAGGCTCCTCATCAGAATTCACTTCAACTTCCTGACACGTGAAAATAACCTCTACCCCGGTTATTCTTCACCGGCACAGCCACGACTGCTGCGCTGCCTATAAGCCACAGCAATTTATATGGGCACAGACCTGCCCTGAGGCAGGTTTAAAATTAGCCAATGTGTTATTTTGGACTTTGTTTTTAAATATATCTAATCTCAGTCAAAACACACCATATTAAAATCTTCTATGCCACATGTTCACTATAATTTTTTGCCAGACAGTTATGCTAGTGAAAGGTATAATGAGTAATGATCTTGGACTCACATAGCTACATACATGAGCAAAAGCCGACCAGTATAGTGGCTACTACACCAGCAAAATTACCTCCGCAAGCAGTTCTTTCACTGGTGCTGAGAAAAAGCAGGTACCTCCCTGAAACAGGCTTAGCTCAAGTTGCCTAACATACGAAGAGGCACTGGCGGCCATACTGAGGCAGCCATACACCTGAAGCAGTCAAACCTGACCTAAGAAATCCCCTTGGGCTCCAATATATCTGTTCTTCTCTCGGTTTGTCTAAAATCAAAATACATTTTAATATAAGTGATCTTGCCAACCAGGATCATAAGCGTCATACGCATTCCATAGCCCTATCTCACTTCCAAAATCAAGAAATTAATTAGAATTATTCATAGTTTGGGGGATTCTATTTCTAAGCTTCTAAGGATGCACTTACCAGAAACATGACAGATGTAAACTTTTTTTTAATGTGAAACCTGAGGATGTAATTTAATCTGACTGTAGCAGCTAGACGTGTATGAAAAACAAATATTACAAGACTTCCAGTGATCTCAAGTACTGGTAGCAATGCCATAAGAAAAGCTGTAACTGAGAAATATTTAGATGGACAAAAGTTGCAGAGATGTTTAGATGGACAAAAATTTATTCACATTCAAAATAAATGTGCCAAAGATTATTTTCCTGAAGAGAACAAAGACCCTCAAAGATGACATCTGTGTCAAACAAGAGTGGCAAAAAAATCATTTACAAAACCCCCCAAAAAACCCAGCACTTAGTGACCATGTGTGGTGTAACACTAGTGTGACTTACTGGGAGGCTTTTCTCCTTAACGGATTTAATAGCTAGTGAGGTCTAAATTAATTACTAGTATAGTCCTGAAAATTATATTTTGACAAAATAAAAAAAATCCTATTTCAAGATTTCTATTGGAGTGGGAAAATAAGAAAAAGCAAAAGGAAAAAGTTCTAGAAAAAATAAGTCAAGAGTAATTAAATATTCTACTGCATCTTTTTTTTTTTCCACAAAAACTACCTAAATTTTCTTCTATTCTTTATGCAATTTAAAAGGGAGCAAAATGGATTCAGATGTCTAATAGCTTCCAAACAACCAGAAGCTATTAATTTTTCAATTGCTTGTTACATAAACAAATTTCCTATAAAAATCAGAATTAAAAAAACCCCAACTGAAAATGCAATTGCAGCTTCAGAATATTCTATTATGAAATTAAGGGAACTCTTACTGAAATTGTTTGGTAGCTTTAATATGATCTGTCTCACAGGAAATATGATACTACAGCTTTACAGAAGATGACCACTTACTTTTAAAATATTTATAAATTTACATTAATATCATCCATATATACCATGACGCATTTCAATAATTATTCTACAATACAATGGGAGTGCATGCTCAAACAAAACACCTCAGCAGTATTTTAAAGCAGTAAACCACCTAGCCAATTTCTGTACGTTCTGTAGTTTTTCTAATCCACTCTCCCTGTGGTTGAGCAAAATCGAATTGCCTCTCACATTTGCAGACAGCTCTGTGAAGGTGATAATAGAGCTGCTCCCTGCTGTCATGAGGCAGGAAATAGGAAAATGGCATATGGGGCTAGAAAGAAATAAAAAGAGAACTAAACAAGAACAAAAGAGATTTCAACAAAGGACAACTATAACCCAATATGCTTTGCAAGTTAATCTCTTTTCATAATCATTTAACATACTTAATCATTTATCTGCATGCTTCTCAAACTCAAATGCTTGATACTAAGTCTTCTGTAAAGTTTTATTGCTCAAAACATTTGGAATAGAAATGATACTAAAAGCCATCATATGCAACGCCTGTAAATCAATGCCTTCTTAGTGCCCATGTTAAGGGGCTGAATCTATTCCAATCTGTTAGTAATTGATCTTAGATTTTGTGGCTAAAATGTAATAACCAAAACAATGCATACTTGGATTATTAGTTGCAAGCATGTTGAGTGACACCTGAATAGCAAAATATTAAGGGAGGATTATGATTGGTTATGTGTACTGGCAATATCAAAGACTTCCACCCCGTTTAAGGATTACTAACGTAAGATGCAGAATAAACTATAAATGAGCTTTTAATTTACAATGAGAAATTTATTTTTATTTTTATTTTGTAATGCAGAATGGGCCTCCAAAAAAATCAAGAACTTACACATATTTACAGTGCTTCTATATTAAATCTTACCAAAGTGCCTTAAAAAAAAAAAAAAAAAGCAAGCCTACTATACCTTTCCTTTTACACTCTGAATGGGATCCACCACCACAGCAACAGCTCTTTCTGATAAGGCTTCAAAGCTCTGCTGAGTATTGATATCTACACCAGACAACCAACAGCCAAAGCCAGGGTGACTATGATACCAACCAACTACCATCTCAGGTCTGAAACAAAGCGGACATTGAGATTCTTAAAAATAAAACCACGTAACACAAGAAGAAATAGTAATGTATCAGGGCATAAATTAGGATGAGCTGTGAAAAAAACACCATTAGAAATATTTAAATTACTCACCATAGTATGGTGAAAACATGGACATGAATAAATGTGACAAAAGAGGGCTATCATTAAGGGATGCACATTAGCAGTGGTAGATCATGCTTTCAGTTTTTCACCCTGTTACCACACCTTCCCTGAACCAGTTTTTACCCTTTCAGCACTTGAGTAAATATCTACTCTTTAACTCCTTGGCGTCAAGGGTTGAATTTTCACGGCAGAAAGTCCATTTCAGACATGGACAACGGGAACCGACGGTGGGAAAGGATTAAATATCAATTAAACCAGCAGTAGAACTAGGAACTCAGTCAAAAAGCAATTTGCACTGTTCTGTTCAGCTGCTGAGCCTTTTGCTAACATTAATTTTGAAGTTTTTCCCACAGTAAAAGAATTTGAGCAAGCAGACGACAACTGTTGAGAGGTAGGAGTGAAATAAAAAGTTGTTTAAATACTAGGATCTTTTACAAAATTATTTTCCCTTTCTTTTCATTGAAATTGCTCATAAGCAAGCTACAACTTCGTAATTTTTTTAATCTTAATTAAAAGAAATTTTTTTTAAAAAATCAATCTTTTAAGCAGGTACTGTCTAGTATCTGCCTATACTAAATTGAGCAGCATTCTAATCTTTCTGTGCAATAGTCAAAGCTGTAGGTTTAACATGAGTGACAACCTCCTGACAAATGAAATGCATGAGGTGGACTGAATTACATGCTGTGCTACTCACCTGATTTCTGGGCCACTTATTTCTTTTTAAACGTTATTAATAGCCCCTAGATCACTAACTTTGAGGAAAGCCAGCTGCAGGGAGTACTTGTTCCTGTCAGCCCTCTTTAGGGTGACTTACCTTCCCGTCTGTTTCAGCATATCCAACATTTTTGCTTGAAATACAGGATCAACTGCCTCCACACTGACACCCTGATGCGGAAGACAGACAAAAATCGTACATAAAGCAATACTGTCTTTTAACTTGTTACTTCCCACAAACAAAAATTGAAATACCATTCATAAGCATCTGTTTAAAAGGGCAACCCGACTACTTTAGAACTACTTGAGAGAACACCCTTAAATGTAAAATACAATTTTAATAAATGTGTTTCAATGTGTTTTTTAAAATGCTGAACTAAAATTTTGAAGTGCTATTTAAGTCATCTCTACTATGAGTAAACATGATTAAATAGGCATAAGAATTAATCTTTTCCTCCTCTTTTTGTTCTGCACATTCTGGCCTGTTGTTTCTCACAAGTTCAGCTAGCTCTACAGGTTTTATTCAAGATAAATATCAAATATTGCAGATTCTACTTATACTATGCACATGCATAGAATAAACAAAGGACAAAAGAATTCAAAAAAAGTGTTCTTTGAATAACAATATTTCATTCAAGTTACACAAAAAAAAGCATGATAAATTCCCATTGGCTCACCATCTCTTTAAAATCTCTTCATAACACGGATATTCTTACTCAAAATTAAAATACATCATTTTTTTCATATCAGAAAAATATCATTTAAGAGACATGCCACTGTAAGACCTGTCAAAGACAGCAAGTTTCAAGCATATCTATACCACCATCACAATTAAGGGCATGACACACTTCTAATCAAACCTTTTACATTTTGAATCCTTCCCCTGGCTCACAGCCTATGAGTTCTTAAAGTTATCAATTTATAGATCTTGTAAGTGATGTTATACCAATATATTTTACATACGTAAAGAACTTCTCCACATATTGATATACAGACTTACATACTAGTGTTTGCTAAAAAAAAAAAAAAAACAAACAAAAAAACCAAAACCTGTTTTAACTAATATTTTTACTGAAACCCTTAAATCCATTAGACATGTTTGAATTATACCTAGTAGGTTATACCTTAAGATTGCATGAATGAGCTAAAGCAGGAAAAGCTTTTAAGAAATATTTACCATAAGGGAAAAGCAAACAAGCAAACAAAATTATCAAGGTCTAGCTGCAAAGAACTCACCGTTCCTGACTGTGGCATTGCAAAAACATCAATCACTCTCACAGTGTAATCATCAACAAATTCCCCAAGCATCAGACCCATAACTTCCATAGGGACGCCAGCACGGCCATGCTTCAACATCTGGAATTAAGACCAAACGACACCGTATGTTTAACAGGATGTTCAAGTTTGACTTAGGATAGTTCTTTCAGCCTTTGTTGATCTAAAGATAATCTGCAACTTGTAGCACTTTTGGAAACTGTAAGGAACTGTAAAATAGTAAAAACGAAGCCAACAAAAGAGAAGTAATTAAAATGAATTTCTTACTCTGAGTGTTCCAAACAGTATTAATTTATTTTAACAATTCATCTGACCAGCATCTAAGGAGCCACAAGTCCATAAACTCTGGATAAGTGCCAGGTGCTCCATCTCCAGCGCTATACACAGATGCAGTACGCACAGAATACTTACTTTCAGCAGTGCAAGGGAGGAGATATAAACCTGTTCCGCTGTATCGACTGCAGGAGCATCTGTTGGTGGCCCCTATGGAAAGAATAAATAATTATTTTCTCCACCATTGTTATTCTGCAGTTTCTAAAAATTTTCTTTTGTTTTCCATATCACAAAACCTGCAGAAAAATGTATATATAACTGTGACTTCAATGTAGATGCAGTTCTTACAGACAAAACAAAAAAAAAAAAGCACACCCAACCCCCAAACACTTCTTTACACACCTTCCTTCACTAACCTATTTTGTAATACGAGTCACTTAGCAATCAACCCCTGTCTCCCCCACCCCAAAACAATACCAATCTAAAGAGCAATCTTATCAGAATCAGTCAGATAAAAAACTGGCAAGTATTGCGCTGGGTACAAACCTGGTACAAGACAAACAGGCTAAGAGTCAGCTAAGTTTCCATTAGTCAGCCTTGCTGCAATGCTAACCTTCGTCAGCTGTAAAATACGGCCAGTTCGCCAATTAACTATGTGTTTCTTACAGTGGTGTGAATGTAAATGCTGCTGGGCTAGCATGATTAACTGGCACCAACACAAACAGCAATTTCCCTTTGCTTCATCAGCTTTCAGCTGAAGAGGACTTGCAGATAAAGGCTATGGGAGTACTTTGCAGATACACCGGTACAGTGAGAGAAAAAATGGACCTCCGATCCCTAGGTGGAAAAGCTGTGAACAAAATACTTTGCTCTTTGCCTTATGAGTAGTTATTCAAAAATTAGCACAACTGTCCCAGGTGTGAATGATCGGTTGAAACAGGTTCTGTGTACTGTTGAAAATGAAAAACACAGGAGGCAGCAGTTTAAACGTCCCTTTCTCGAGGAGCAAGACACATACTGCTCTTATATACAGTATTCTGTATCAGTGTTCCTCATTACAGCCAATTAACAGTACATTCATTACTTTATTACCAAATTGGGCACAACAAATTTCCACTGACAAGACAAAAGGTTACTTCCACACGAAGTGATGTAAACTTAGAAGGGCAAGAAAGCAGCTATGGAGTACAGTAAAAGAAAAAAAAGATATTCCCCATTAAGTTAAAGGAGGAAAAAAATGGTGCCTTTACGCAAGCATTTTGTAGATTTAGAGCTTTGATTCCCCACTTAGAAGCAAAATTTGGCAAGAAAATAAAAACCTTGAGTAAATTCTTGATTTTTCACTTAAAGTGGAAAAATTCAGTACAAGACGCGACCACATGACACCAACCAGAAGACATAGCGATTGACACAAGCCATCACCTCCTGAAGATAAAGCCAGGAACTTAGGTCATCAGCATATTAGAGTTGAATAGCAACTGTCCTTCCTGCATACTTTGACCCACACAGAAAAACATCATCTAGTCTTCAGAATGCTTTGAAGACAGTAAGAAAATTCAGTAGGTTTTTTTTTTCCCAATGTCAATGAATTCCTTCTCTATTAGCTCCAGATCCAATCTTTACATTTTGAATCCAATCTTTGTATTTTGAAACTCACATACATGCATGGATCTGTGTCAACCACAACTGCTTCCTAACACCTTCAAACCTTTATTTCCAACTTGATACTGCTGACCATCACCACCTGATATTTGTTCTCCCTCATTTCTTACTACTCACTGCTAATTCTTCTGTCACTTTGGCCTTTCCATCAGCAATCTTCCAGCAGGTTTAACTTTTCACCTTCTATAATACTCTCGCCAAAGGTCCATTTTTATTCAATTTCACCTCTTCATCAAGTATTTCCCTGACTAGCCAAAGCCCAACAGCGAGATGCTCCAGAGGAGAAGTGTTCCGCTAATGCTTACAATGAAAAACTCTACGAGCAGTTCTTCAGAACATTTCACAGGCCAAGATGCACAGAGCACCTGAATCACTTATTCCAAATTTACAACTAAATTGTTTGACTGATAATGCTTCAAATGCCCAATCATTTTCTGATGCTGTTACTACGAGTTTTTTCTCCATAAACATGTAATTCTACCTTCTTAACTGTATCTCTCCCGCTTTAAGTCTATTCTAACTGATCTTCTTTTCACTTAGAAGTCTTAATACTTTGGAAAGCACAAAGACTCATATTTCCACTTAATCGCCACTAAGAATAAAGCGGAGATGAGTTGAGTTTTAATTAAAAAAGGCTTATTAGTTTAATAACAACCCCATTCTTCATACATAAAGCTCTCTTCCAATTTTCTACCAGTTCTACACTAGAAAGAGTCTGAAGTGAGGGTAAAAGTACAAACACAGTAACCTTCTGCTTTAGGAAGAGCCATCCATGCTGTCATCACCATACATATTCTATATTTGTCCCAGATTTTGTTTAACATTTCACTGTAAGCAAGCATCCCATTGCACCATTCAGTGTGTTTAAAATAAAAAAATAGCATGAAAAAAATTTCCCCGAAACTATCATAAGTAGTTCTGTGATTTCTGGAATGTTAATGCTGGATTGAGACTAGCTTCTAAAAAATCAGGAGCTTGAACTGAAGTTTATTCCACAGACTATGGCTCCTGAATATGGGGATTCCTATATGGAATCTCTAATGCCTGTTAAGACGGCAGCTCACCCTGACACCCTTCCACAGCTGAGGCATTAATCACATCTCTGTCCCCTATGTAGACACTTGCGTTCACAACTTGTAAGAGTTTAATTATTTTTCATAACTTTTCCCATTTTAAAATCTATTTAAAATCAGTCAGTAGATTCAACACTTACAGAGGAGACAAACATTATTACATTTTGTTTCTGTAACAAGGCAACTAAATTACCTTTAGTTTAAGCAAAGGTAGGAACTACAGCAAGGTGTTGCCATACTGTACTCACTCTTAATCTTTCCTCCTTTTATTATCTCTATACTCCTTGCACCTTTCAAATGCTTGTTTACCTTGATTTACCTGAACTCTTAAGAATTAGTTAATGGTTGTATACAATGCAAATATAATGTAGGTTTATTAATTCTCAGTCTACTTATAAAATACAGCACGTACTAAGTATTTCCTTGGTCACAGACACTTCTTTTGTGAAAACCTCACTATCTCCTTTCAGTCTGCTGCTCTGTTCTCCTTCTAGATTGTAATTCCTAGCTAAATTACGAGAAAAGGAAACAACTCATTGCACTGTATAAATTATGTGTATTCATCTTCATGTTAATATTCCTTCCATTGTTTTGAATATAGATTTGAATGAACTGCTCAAGAGAGTTCTGAAATTATTCTGATGTACCAACTCAGGAATTTTGAGGGGGAAAGGATCCATAGGTCAAAGCCTGTCCTGAATGTACCTTCGCAACAGGTTTAGTTTCACATTATTTTTCTACCAAAGATACATTGGCACAGAAAATACTACAGGCACACACTTGTCTTTCTACAGAAAATTATAAACCGGAAGTTCATCAGATTCTTAATTTAGAACATTTATCAGATTTAACAGATAAAACCAACAGAAATAGATCTTGGGTCTTCCAAGAAGTTTACTTGGCTTTAGACAATGCCATTTGAAAAAAAACAGGCATTTGGAAACTGGAACCGATTTCTTTCCACCTCTGACCACTTCCTTTCCCATAAATGGCTGATAATCTAACACAGCCCTAGCGTGGCAGCCGCAGCTTCTGCATGGTAGTCACACAGTATGTGGGAGCTAGCTACGGGTTACATGTTTTGGGATCTCTCTGGCCTGTTTCTGCTAGTCTTTCACAGAAGTTTATGCATTTCTTTCATGAAGCAAAGAGGAAAAAAGACTTTATTAGCTAATCTCTACATGGAGGCAAAATATTTTACACTGACCCTCCGCAGCATGTGCTATTATCACTGTTCATAAACTTCACTGCCTGCCAACTTTCACAAAGGAGCATCATCCTTATAAAGCAGAGTACCAAATTAAATTAACTGGTGTCAGAAACCCAAACAAGCAAGCATTTGTATCTGAAATGCAAAAGATCTGCTGGTATTTTTGGTTACATTATGGTACTCAAAGAAGGTCAGACAGTTCTCCCACTGCACAGAGGTTTGGAAGACTGTCCACCGCGCTGCAAAACAGCCAACGCTGCCTTCATTCTGCCTGCCCACAGCTTTACGGACAATCTCTTGGGGAACTGGAGAAAAATGGGATTTGGAAACGGCAAGGAATATTGAACATTCTTTTTCCCAAGCATTCCTGTATAAGCTGGCTACAGTAATTATTAAAATTCAAAAACTGTTCTAAAAATACTGTTATTGTGCTACTTACTGAAAATCAACGTTTCTTCTGTATCAAATACATGTGCTGTCAGTCAGTGACATGAGCTGCCTGATGGCCAGCCATCGCGTAAAACCCAACCAAACTCTGGCTTTGCTTTTGTTTGGAATGGCAGAGTCCCAATTTCAATAATAATTGGTAAAATTAAGTTACCTCTATTAAAATACGTTTGATTTTTGCTTAATTTTTTAACTAAGACTTGTAATGGAAAAATAATCATGTTCCAGTTATGAACAGAAGATTACCTTGTCATATGAAATTATGCATGATACTATTTTTGTTTCAAACAGTTAAAGAGATGATCCAATATAAAAAGCAGCCCTTTAGTTGGGCAGCCCTTGTTGACGAAGTGTTAAAGGCATTTGCCATTCTAACAGGATAAAAACTAACGCCTTGAAGTGTTATCTACTCAGGCCTTTTAGCAAATTTGTTAACACTTTTAGGTATATTACTCCACCTTTCTCTTAGTGTGAACTGGTATCAATTATTTAGCCAATTTTATTATGTTATTAAAATACCTGCTGATTAAATGTGAACTAAAGTGTCATTTTAGAGCACTGCTCTTTATTTGTACTATTTTACATTTATTCAAATAGGTACAGAAAGTGGACTTGATTAATTACACAAGCAACTGAGAAATATTCCACAAATGGAGACACTTTCTATTGTTTATATGGATCTTAAACACTGCTCTGGTGTCACACTAATGGCACAAAAGATGATTTTGAAATACATCATAGATGTTTCAACAAAGAAACTCGGTTTTGCAGGGGCAACTGTAATGAAAAAAGGCGCTGTAGAGAAAAATCTTCGCTTT